TGCTTAGGGACATGGTTTAGTGGGCGTGGTGGTGTTGGGTTGATGGTTGGACTCGATGATCTTAGAGGTCTTTTCCAACCTAAACAATTCTATGATTCTACATTTTAACTGAAGCTCTTTCAGGAAGCATCAAAGGCTTACTCCTTAGCAGAATTATCCGATTTGAGGATTCACAGAGGAAGGAAAAAATAGGTATTTTGAAGACAGAGAGGAGGCAGCAAGAAAGACACAGGAGATAGGCACCTCTGCATTCAGGAGTGGGCTTGCTCCAGACTCCCTGGTGTTGATCTCCTGCAATACACTGAAGAAAGGCCGGTCCAACAAGGGTGAAGCCATTATTGCATTTATAAGCTACAGTGGAGCCATAGACAAAGTCTGTGCCCTTTGTGCCGTTGTGGATCCCATTGTTAACCGTGGGGGGCTCTTCACAGAGAATGTGAGAAGGCTGCCCTATGGAAGGAATAGCAAGAGTGTCTGAGTACTTCCTAACTGAAAAGGTGGAGAGGTATACGGGGAGAAGGAGGTACAGCTAAACGCCATTTCAGCAGCAACGGAAAACACTGTGAGCTTTCTTGCTTGGTACTGGACCTCAGTTACTGCCCGTTAGCCGCAACTCCAGGACCTCACCCCATGAAATAAGCCACAGAATTGCCTAATCAGGCTAGAAGAAATGTTTCAGCCATTTCTAGCTTCACATAACACTATACACTGACTTCATAACACCTGATTTCAGCATTATACCAAATTGAGCGGACAAAGTTCTAACATCCAATTGTCTTCATCTTTCCCTGGTAACTAGAGAGAGAAAACTTTCCTCCTGTGACTGTTTCTGCTCTTCCCTCGCTCCTTCCACTTTGTCAGCATAATTTCTGAATTGTGTGAGAATATTGCACCTACGGCCTCACAGCATGAGTTAGTACTGAAATAATGAATTTTACAGTTGATTGAATTAAGAAGCGCAAGTAAGAGCAGCCCAAGCCCACCAGCACGGCAACTACACCAGCGCAGTTCCAACTATTATCTTAATGGCTCTGTGTGGAGTTTTTCCCCTCTTACTTTCACAGTACGGAGATGCTGTATCCCAATCAACTCCATTTCCTGATACCACACATTTGGCAGAAGATGACCCCTTTAATTCATACCTAAAGAAAGAGAAGTTTAGTACTTTCCAGAAGACAACCCAGAAATGGTTCCTCCCCCGCCTCCCCACCACTGCATGCAAGCAAGTTATTAACCAGAAGTTGCCCCTGCTATGAAATGAGATCTGGCCACATCCACGCCACTAAATAAGGGCACTAGTAAGAGCCCAGCTGAAGCAGTTCACTGCATTACCAAGCACACGCATGTTGCCACATGCTCATCTCACTGAGGACATAATACACGGTTTCACTGGAGATTTGCACTGGGAAACCAGGGAGGGAGAGGGGTGGTGGATGTTACTGCCTGTGACCCCTGCCTTCTGACCCCCGAGTCGGTCCCTTTTAAGCAGTGATCCGCTCACCCAGGATGACAGGTGAATGTCACAACCGTCTCAAACTGGAAATTGTCTGCAATCACATCCCCGTTCTCTATTGTGGGTGGAGTACATTGCTGTCCTAGAAGAAAAGAAAGCAGTGCAGGAATTACTGCAAACCCAGAGATGGGCACAAACCCAGAGTAACATCTCAAGCACGTACAGATCACTTGTACAGTCAGTCAAGACAGAAGGGGAACAGAGATACTCACGTATACAGAAGTCTGGGTCTGCAGACCAACTTGCATTACTCAGACAAGTGACAACAGAGGACTTTCCACTTGCTGCAGTATAACCCGGTTTACACCGATACATCAGCTTAGTTCCAGCGAGAAAACCGTTACCCACAGCCGTTGTCAACTCAGCGAAAGGGAATTGCGGAGCAGGACCACAGTAGACTAACAATTGGAGACAAAAGCAAGGTTAGCTACAGAAGAGTACCCAAAGGGTCTGCAATAACAACAGCGAACGGCCTGTTTTGGAGTGCACACAACATTTTAACCTGTCTGAATGTCAATGTCTGGGATACAGTTTGCATCCAACCCATTTAGCAAACAGCAGCATATACCACAGTTTGCTTAACCAGAGAAAAGATGGAGATTGCGTAGCATCTCTGCGTCAAAGATGCTCCTTCACTGACCACCAACCCAGCCTGCAGGACCCGCTGAGCTCAGAAGCCAAACATCCCCAGCAGGTCTGGAAGCTGGTGAAACAAGCCTGTCAGGTGTAGAAGGCAGTTTTGTCTCTTCTTTCAGTGCACATTTGGATCATTTGCATCACGAATAAATAGCTTCAGGTCTAAATATATAACTGGCCTGGGCTGCCACGCCGAGGACCCAAGCCAGCATGCTCTGCAAGGTCACGGCTACAAGTGCACGAAGTTCGGAAGCTGATCTGCCCAACAGCTCTTAGACCTACTTCAGTGCCATTGCTCAAGGAAATAAATTAATTTGTACTCACTCGGGTCACATGTTGGCAGAGGTGGCTTCCAGGTATTGTCTGCTTCACAAGTAACTACGCTGCTACCATTCAATAAGTGACCGGGATTACACTCAAAGGTCACTGTTTCTTTATACTTGTACTCAGTGCCAAAGCCAGATAGCTTTCTCCCATTTTTCACTTCTGGACTTTTACATCTGACCACTGGAAGTGAAGATAAGACAAAAAGTTTAATACAAGAACAGTTGCAAGTTTATTGCAATTTACACTGCAAAAGCCTTGCAGTGACACCAGAGGCATTACGCAAGAAGCTTACTTAAGAGAACTGCCCTCTTTTCACTCCTGAGAGAGGCAGGTCCCCAGTGGGGTGCAAGTACCCCACGAACAGACACGTCATTAAGACACATGTGAGAGCTTCATTTTTCATTTGCAGGAAGCCCTGGGCATGGGCAGGGAGAGGGAGGCTTTCTGTGGGCTGAAGAATCGATTAAACCAAGCCCTGCCTCAGACCATGACTTGGGAGATCACTGCATTAAGCTTTCTGGGAATCCTTTTAGACTCAAATCAACTTTCTCATGTTTGGCAGCCCATCGGAAAGTACAGATCAGGAGAGGGATGAGAAACAAAGTCAAAAGAATAAGGAGAGAAAGAAAGCATGTACCTTTGCATTCAGGGGCTGGACTGCTCCATATTCCATTGAAGTTATCGTTCGTCGTGCAGTGAATTGTGGCATCTCCAATAAGATCAAAACCTTTGTTACAGCTGTAGGTTGCAGCCACGCCAAAGGTGAACTCTCTGTCCCCACTGGTGAGCTGCCCATTCTCAATCACAGGTGGTGGTGAACAGGGAATACCTGCACGGGAAAGCAACAGCGAGAAAACACACGAACATTTCCATCAAATATGAAAACTGAGGTCTAGCTACTAAAAAACCAAACCAAACCAAAAAACCAACTCAAACAAACAAACAAAAAAAAGCCAAAGAAAAAGCAGGGAAGCAGCCCTAAAGCTGCTCAACCTAATCTCAACCTAAAGTCTTGAATGCGCCTTTAAATTCTGAATGTTTTCCAGGGTATTTTTAAATGGATACATGGTAAAACGTCAAAACAGCATCTATTGTCCAAGAGGAGACACCGCACAAAAGGCCTTCTGGAGGCAATAAACATGGTCTCACCAAGCAGTCTGGGACCCTCACCTACTGGTGACGGCATCTCCTACCTTCATCGTGCTAACAAGGATGAGGCCAGAACACCTATTATAGCAGCAAACCATTAAACTGTCAGCAGCTGATGGTCAGGCCCATCCCATAGGATACTAAAAAAGCCCAAATAGTACCAACAAAACTCTTAGCCTTTCCTTCCCCTTTGAAAATTGAGATTTTGGATGTGCAGTCATGTCTGAAGGCATCCCAGTCCCGGCCAAGCGCAGCTCTTGATAAACAATTCAGCAACGGTTGCCTGACGGAAAACACAGCACAAGTGATGCAGCGTCGGCACCAGCCTGGCAGAAAGCTTGCTGCGCGCCCGTGCTGGGCAATACCAACCAGCAGCCTCGGGACCTGCTTTTCTCGCAGATCTGACTACAGAGCTGCTGCCAACATCCACAGATCCCCTTTAGTATTTAATTTTCATTCCCAGCTCCACCGAGAGTGCTTGTTTGGGGGAGGCGTAAGGAGTCAGTCTCTTTAAAGGCTAATGGAATTTGCATTCGGTGCCAAGAAGAGAGTATCCACCTGCCGTTCCCCAAACTACCAGATATAGTGTAATAGCTTCAAGGAAGAGATGTACACAAAATATTTAAGATCTGCTTACTCTCACAGTATGGAATGCTATCCCAAGAAACTTCATTGTCTTTAAGCACACATTGTGCGGATGGCTTCCCAACTAATCGGTACCTAAGAAAAGAAAAGGTTGAATCTCTGAAAAAAGTGGGGAAAAAAAACCCAAACCTTGGGAAATTCAGAAAGTTGTACAGTTTCTAATGGTATTCTCTGGAGGAGCTGAACCCTAGGGGAAAAACAGCCAGCCCTCCTATAAAATACAATTTTCTCAATACCTAAAGAAATACAATAGATGATGCAGTTAGAGGAAATTTAATACTTGCAGCGGGCAGACACAACCTCACAGGAGCGCAAGCAAGGCGGCATCCCCACCCTGAGTCTGTTCAGCCCCGTGCTGTGCAGTGGTAGATCCACATAGCAACTTATTTTCCGAGCAGAGCTAGGTGTCACTGACATACCTTAACCGTTCT